TTTAATTAATTTTCATATAAATTGTAAATATCTTCTTCCCAACTTATTTGGTAAGTACTAATTAAAAATTGGTCATATGTTTGTATTTCTGGGTTTTTCATTACTTTTTCATTTATCACTTTCTCTCATTTGCACCCAGAATGCAATACAGTACTACCATCAATAACATTACTGAACATTTAGTAAAATTCTAATTACTGCAGTCAACAAGACTTGATTTCAAATCTTGCTCCTGCTTCTCATTTAGCTCAGTGACCTTCCAATTAATCTATTTGAATTTATGTTCCCTAGTCCATAAGTCAAAGATTATAATATTTATTTCTCTGAGTTGTTTTGAGAATTGGAAGTAATGTATAGCAAGTCATTATCACAATGTCTTGAAGATCCAAAAATAAATATTCTAGTAAAAGTATATTATCAGGTAAGTGTATTTTATTAGTTCTTCATCAAATTATCATTCTCCAAGACTATTTTTTGTAAGAAGGTACAAGTGAAGAAGTTTTACTTTAATATTGAATGTATTTATTTTAATTTTAATTGGCCTGCCATAAACTATGCAGAATCTTTTGTTCTGATGTATGAACCATAAGGTAAACAACACTCACTATATGGTCCAAGGTAAGGATGAAAATTGTTTTATTGCCAAAATTTGTTTTCTTTTCTAAAAATATGTACAGTATGAAATCTTTATCCTTATTTTGAGTCAACAAATGCTTTAATCTTACTTAGTTGGAAAATCAGAGTATAAGCTACAAATTAGCAGAGAATTAAACCGAAAATGAAAACTTTTATAAAAAAAATTAAAATTTTATTTTCCTGAATAAAACTTTAAGCATATATCACCTAATTTGTTTTTGTGCTTTAAAGTAACAAGGTACAAAGTATTTTTTAAGCTGATCAAAGTGCTATTCAAAAGTAATGAGCTGATGGTCATGAAGGTTTCTAATTTACATTTCCAAATTGCTGTCTGTTAAAGGAGGCTTAAAAGCTCATGATTGCACATATTTCAAGTAGATTGGCAGAGCCCTTATAGCACAGAAATTTTAGAAATCACATACAAGTCCTTGGTGATTCAAGTTCAATTGTTTAGCTTGATTTGTTCCTTTTTGATAGTCTCTTTCCTCAATTAGGTAAGATGTTATATTAAATACAAACCCAAGTAAACATAATTTTATATTTTCAAAATGCAAGAAAAATAAAAATTCATAAATTTTTTAAAAAGTTTTAATTATTTGTTAATTTTTACAAATTAATTTTGTTGGTACATTTTAGGTATAAAATATAATGATGTTCATCATTGGAGATTTGTACCCTTTACATAATATAACTTGATTCTTATGTTTTCCCCATTCCCCTGCCCTCCCTTCAACGCCTCCACCCCTCCCTATTTACAAAGACTTTGTTTCCAACTTTTAATTTTCTCATATTAATTCCATCCCCTTCTTTCCTTTCCTTTATTCCTCCCATTTCCCCTTACCCTTTGCACCTTTTCTTTCTATTTCACATTTTCTATTATACACTTTCATCCTTATTTCCACTTTCAGTTTCTCACAGCAGAGAAACTATTTGGTATTTAAACATATGTCACATTTATTTCATTTAAGAGTATTGCCTCAATGTGCATCCCTTTATCTATAAATGTCTCTAATTTCTCATTCTTTATGGCTGAATAGCACTCTATTTTATTTTTTTTTAAAACCCTCGTTTTCTTTTTCCAGTCTCCAGTAGATGGGCAATTGGGATGTTTCCAAGTTGAAGCTATTATGAACTGTGCTGCTATGAACATGGGTACATATATATTGCTGTGGTATGATTCTTTCCATTTTGGGGGGAAGATATCCAGCAGGGGAATAGCTAGGTAAAATGGGACCTCTAAGTTCTTTCAGGTGTCTTCATATTGATTTCCACAGTGACTGCACCAGTCTACACTCCCAACAGTGGAGAAGTGTTTCTTTTCCCCCACAACCAAGCCAGTGTTTATTAGTTGATTTCATGATATCAGCCACTCTTTCTGGGATGAGGTAGAATCTCAGCATTGTTTTCATTTGCATCTCTCCAATGACCAGTGATGTTGAACATTTTTTTATATGTTTATTTACAGTTTCTACTTCTTTGAGAAATGTCTGTTCATTTCTGATGCCCATTTTTGGATTGGGTCTTTAAATTTTAGAGGTCTGATTTTTTAAAGTTCTTTATATATTCTAGTTAGAAGACCTTTGTCTGAGGAACAGCTGGTAAATTTTTTTCCCACATTGTGACTTGTCTCAACATGCTGTTGGTGGCTTCTCTTGCTGTGCAGAAGCATTTTAATAAGAAAAGATCCCTCTTATTGATTGTTTGTGTTAGTACATGTGCAACATAGGTTTTGTTAATGAAGCATTTTCCTACACCAAAGTCTTCAAGAGTTCTACCTAATCTCTCTTCCAGCCTTTTGAGTGTTTCTGTTTTAATATTTAGATCTTTAATCCATTTTCATTTCAGTTTAGTGAATAGTGAGAGATATAGGTCTAGTTTTAATCTTTGGCAAGTTAAAACCCAGTTTTTCCAGCAAAATTTATTAAAAAGGGTATGTTTCCTCCAGTGAGGGTATTTGGCTCCTTTGTCAAAGATGAGGTGGCTGAGTGTGCCTGGAGTTGTTTCTGCATCTTTTAATCTGTTCCACTGTTACTTGGGTCTGTTTTTTTGCAGTACCATGCTATTTTTATCACAGTAGCTTGGTAGTATAGTTTCAAGCAGGGGATTGTGATATCCCCTACTTTGTCTTTGTTGCCTAGAATTGCTTTTGGTATTCTAGGTCTCTTGTTCCAAATGAATTTGTGGATTGTTTTCTCAAAGTCCATGAACTATGCTGCTGGAATTTCAATTGAGATTGCATTGAATCTACATAGCAATTTTGGAAGTAGGGCCATTTTCACTATATTTGTTCTTCCTACCCAGGAGGAAGGGATGTGTTTACATTTTATGATATCCTTTTGATCTCTTTTTTCAGAGTGCTATAGTTTCCAGACTACAGGTCTTTGATTTCATTAGGCTGATTCTTATGTATTTCAATTTTTTGAATGCTGTTGTGAAGGGAATTATTTCTTCAGTTCCTTTTTCAGTGAGTCTGTGGATTGTGTACAGTAAAACTATTGATTTTGTGTGTTGACCTTATATC